CTATCCTCTTGCTTAATTGACCTCTTTATCATTATATAGTGACATTGTCTTTTCTTATAGTTTTTGTCTTGAAATCTATGTTGTCTGATGTAAATATAGCTACTTCTGTACTTTTTTGGTTTCCATTGGCATGGAATTTTTTTATGTCTTTATTTTCAGTCTATTTATGTCTTTCTAGGTGAAGTATGTTTCTTCTAAGCAATGGATTATTGGGTCTTGTTTCTTCATCTATTCAGCCACTCTATGTCTTTTGATTGGAGAGTTCATTCCATTTTCATTCGAGGTTATTATTGATAAGCAAGGGCCTACTCCTGACATTTTCTTGTTTTCTGGTTGTTTTGAGGTACTCTCCTTTTCTTTCTTTCCTCCTGTCTCCCTTTTAGTGAAGGTGTTTTTCACTGGTGATATGATTTCATTTCTTGCTTTTTATGTATATGTTGCATATTTGTTGGTTTCAGGTTACCACGAGGCTTGCATATACTATTTCATAACCCATTATTTGAACTGATAATAACTGAACACTGCTTGCATAAACAAACAAGAGAAACAAAACTAATAAAGAACTATACTTTAACTTCAGTCCCTCCATTTTATAACTCAAAATTGCTGTGCTTTCCCTCACCCCCATGCACAGAAATGCTCTATGCCTCACACCTGCAACTGGGAGATGAAAGATGAGGGGAGAGTGGCATCAGTGATACAAGTGTTTTTCCTACCTCTTCAGCGACTCTTTCAGTGACATAAAGTTAAAATCAGTTACTGTGAGTGCTCACCTGATTTTTCTGGCTCTCATGAAGATGCTCTTTCTCTGCAGATACTTGTTAAATTGGCGGCCTTGTTGAGGGAAGGGGGAACCATTGGCGCCTCTATTTCACCATCTTGTTCTGCCAGCCTTCTCCCTTAAGTTTTGCTTCTCTTGGAAAGATTTTATTTCTCCTTCATTTCTGAAGAATAGCTTTGCTGAGTGTCATATTCCTGGCTGACAGTTTTTCCTCTTAGTAATTTGAGTATCTTATGCCATTGTCTCCTGGCCAGTAAGGTTTCTGCTAAGAAATTCTGTTAGTCAAATGGGGATTACCTTATATGTGACTTGACATTTTTCTCTTGATGTTTTTAAAAATTTTTCTTTGTGGTCCAGGCACGGTGGTTAATGCCTGTAATAACAGCATTTTGGGAGGCTGAGGCGGGTGGATCACCTAACGTTGGAAGTTCGAGACCAACCTGACCAACATGGAGAAACCCTGTCTCTACTAAAAATACAAAATTAGCCAGGTGTGGTGGCACATGCCTGTAATCCCAGCTAACCAGGAGGCTGAGGCAGGAGAGTTACTTGGACCCGGGAGGTGGGGGTTGCAGTGAGCCAAGATCGTTCCATTGTACTCCAGCCTGGGCAATGAGAGGAAAACTCCATCTCAAAAACAGATAAACAAACAAACAAATAAAAATCTTTCTTCGTTTTTGACTTTTAGCAATGTGATTAAAATGTGCCTTGGAGACGAATGTTCATTGCAGCACTGTTTACAATAGCAGAGACCTGGAACCAACCCAAATGCCCATCGATGATAGACTGGACAGGGAAAATGTGGTACCACGGAATATTATGCAGCCATCAAAAATGATGAGTTTGTGTCCTTTGTAGGGACATGGATGAACCTGGAAACCATCATTCTCAGCAAACTGACACAAGAGCAGAACACAAGAGCAGAAAATCAAACACCGCATGTTCCCACTCATAGGCGGGTGTTGAACAATGAGAACACATGGACACAGGGAGGGGAGCACTACACATTGGGGTCTGTTGGGGGGAAATGGGGGAGGGACGGGGGGTGGGGAGGTGGGGAGAGATAGCATGGGGAGAAATGCCAGATATAAGTGAAGTGGAGTAAGGAAGCAAATCATACTGCCATGTGTGTACCTATGTAACAATCTTGCATGTTCTTCACATGTACCCCAAAACCTAAAATGCAATTTTTAAAAAACGTACCTTGGAGAGAATCTATTTGGGTTTAATTTAAGATTCTTATAGCTCCCCGGACCTGGATTTCTATCTCTCTCCCAAGATATGATACATTCTTTGCTATTATTTTGTGCCTCTGGTGGAAAAGTTGCCTCTTTCAATTTTGTGGAGTAGATTTCATAAGCAGAGATTTATTTTTATGAATGGGTCTTTAGGTGTTACTTATTTTGGGTTTGTTGGTTTTTGTTCGAGGTGTATGTGGTAGTATTGTTGCCACGTGGTTTCTTCACCTAGAATCCACACTTGTGGCACTTGAGTATTTCTTGGCGCCCTACTTGAGAAAATGTGCTGCTACAGCGGCATGGCTCTGCCAGTGCTGTGGTTCCAGGGCTAATTCTCAGGTTAGGGGTGTGTGCATCCACATGGTAGGTGATTCAATTAAGGTATGACTCAATGACGTTGGGGCCAGGGTGCTGTTATTCTGGCTGGAAGCATGCGCACATGTTTGTTCAGTCAGTGTGCTTGCTTACAGGCTAGGAGTGGACTGTGGCGCTGTTTCTTGGTCTCAGGACAAGGAAGTGCAGCCACTCAACTGGTCTGAAGACATGTCTTCCAGAGTCAGCCTATTAGGCTTTTTCTCAGGCCCAAGATGTGAGTGTAAGGTTGCTTAGATGGCCTACGAGAGGAAGGGGATGAGAGAGGAAACAGGGATGTTTCTCAGGCACTTGACACAGCTGCATGGCTGCACGGGAGGCTTGGAGCATTTCTGTGAGGGGTGGCCTAAGAAGATGTTTTGTAGACCTAGGGTGAAGGCATGGAGCTTCATGGTTGTCCTTCAGGCGCAACCACCAGAGGCAGTCTGTGGGACTGTTTCTCAGACCTGGAACATGACCACATGCCCGACAGGGGTGGCCCATGGGCTATTTCTCAGGTTTGGGAAATGGGCTCTTGGCAGCTGGGCCAGCATGGTGTCATGCCCAGCAGGGCAGCTTCTGAGTCTGTTTCTCAGGCACTTTTTGGGAGCAAAGGGCCATTGGGGAGGCCACGGATGTGTCTGTGGAGGGAGAGGGTGCTACAGGGCTAGTTCTCAGGTACTTAGTGTAGCCACTCTGCTGCCGCAGGGGCACATGAGCTGTGTCAACCTCAGAGGCCTCTCTCCTATGAGGCGAACTTTAAAATCTTCTAATATTTTTTCCTTGTTTTTTTTTTTTTTTTAATCATTTGGTATTTTCCCAATCACGATACCATATCTAAAATGTATGCAGCCCTATACCATTTTTATGCTTTCCAAATTATTGATTTCTGCTTTCATCTTTATGAATAGATTTCTTTTTTATTTTGAATTTTTTTTTTAAATTTCATTAAACCCAATCATGATGTGAGTATCATAATCACAGGTTATGCCTGGTTTGCATTTTCCCGGTTTGTTTTTGCAAATCCTGTGCCCTTTGTTTTATCTATATCCTTTGGACACTAGATTAGTTGAAAGTTTTGTTCTTGATACATAAGTAAGATTAATATTTCAGACTCTTTTTTGTTGCAGTAATCTTGGAACAGAACAGCTGCTGGTATTTCCTTAAGGGAAGTGTAAGGAAGATTACAGTGATTAGCGGGTACAGCAATCAATTTGTGTTCAGGAAAATTTTATTCTTCTCTTTTGGGGTCCCTGCCATAAGGAAACACTTACTGCCCTTACGGTAAACAGATAAACTTGGTAAGATCTCAGAGTGGCTCATAGAGAAACCATGTAGCTCACATGCTTTACGTTTGATGGCATAGCACTTTTTCCTATGGTGGACTTTTTCCTTCTCCCCTTCCATACAGCATTGCCTACAGGAAGGTTCAGACAGAATAATTGAAAATAAGTTTTCAAGCCATCCTTTCTCCAGAACCACCCTCCATAGTGTTCTGAATGCATATAGGGTCACCATTCAGATGTTGCTGCTTCTCCTATGGTCTGCTCAGAACAAGGTCTTTTTCAAAGTAAAGAAAGTTTCCTTGAACTTTTCAGGAAGGTTTCACAATTATAACAACAACAACAACAACAAAACTTGTGCTTCTACCCAAGGTAAAAATCTTAGCTTTAGGTCCACTCTCAATACATTATTTAATCTATTGAAGGTGGCAAATATTTCTAACAGCCTGTTGGAGAGTTTACCAGTTTATTACAGAAGTATGAAATTCTTTTATTTAAAAAAATGTATTTTGCCATTTAGCTAGATATAATCAAATAATCCAGTTTGGAAACCAATGTTCTTACTTCTTTTTCCAACAGTTCTTTCTATCACCATAAAAAATATGTTAAATTTCTCTCATCCTTTCAAAAAAATCTCTAGAGTTATCTCACCCTCCAGATACAGCCTCAACTCTCATTCTAACCATGAAATCGGACTTCTTGAGAAGGTTTCAGCTGGACTCCATTCTTCAATGGACAACCCAACACAACTGCGTTAGTCTCTCATTAACATAACTAGCAGCAAGTGACAGAAAGCTTTTGACGCATCAGTCTTTACTGCGATGAACTTCACAGGTACATTTGACATTGGTGTACCTCAACAATTAAAAAAGTTTAATTGTTGAAACTTTTTTCTTTGGCTTCCATAAAGTTTCTTTCTCTTATGTGTCATTCTACTTCTATGATTGCTCCTTCTCAAGTAAAACAGAATGTGTCTTAGGATTATTTTAAAACAAGACGAAGTACAGAGTTATACCTAAAATTGGGTTTTTTAATTATTGCATCAGAAAGGAAACTCACGTTTAGTATAAGAAGGCATTGCCAGCCACCAATTACTTTTGTAACCTGAAGCTAGTCTCCTTCCTACTCTAGACTGAATTTCTTCTGTAAGATGCAAGCAATCTGGCATGATGACATACAAGGACTGATAAAATTTGCTGGGGATTCAGGAAGTAAAAAAATTGCCTTTGACGTTATGTCCCCGTGCTAAGTCCCTGGGGACTTTGACATTATCCCCCACTGAGCAGGGGTGAGGAAGTTGACATTTATTAATAAGCTATGAAAGGGCAGTGTCTTTTGAAATTTCAGCTCCACCCATGGTAAGCCCACTCAAGGAAGATATAAATGAAGAGAACCACTCGGCTCTCAGACAAGGTTTTCCAAGCAAGATGAAGCCCATCATCTTCTTCGTACTTTCCTTGCTCCTCATCCTGGAGAAGCAAGCAGCTGTGATGGGACAAAAAGGTGAGTGGAGAGGGTAAGCCTTGGGGAAAGTTGCTCAGGCAGAATGGCCTCTAAGGGTATTCAGGGTGCAAACAGTAACCTGTTCAGGCACAGATTCTTCTTGTTGAAGAGTATTGATTTTCTTCATCCAAAGCTTCAGCCTTTCTAGAAACATCAGTAGTTTGCTGGGAAAGGGTGGGAGGCAGGCATTGCAAGGGAGCTTTGGAGATAAGGAATGCATACATTTCTATTATCAATTACCAGGTGGATCAAAAGGCCAATTACCAGGTGAATCTCCCCAATTTCCACACGGACAAAATGGCCTGCAGTATTCTGCACTAAAAGGCAAACAGCATGCTGAATCCAAAGGCAGTGTTTCTACTGAACACATGTTTCATGTAGATGTCCACGATCATGACCAGACCCGAAGAAGTAAGCAATATGACTTGAATGCCCAAAATAAAAAGACAAAATCAGGTGGACATCAAGAACTATTCAATCATAAGCAAGAAGGCAGAGAGCATGGGAAATCAAAAGATGATTTTCACATGGTAGTTATACACCATAAAGGAGGCCACGCTTCTCATGGGACACAAAATCCTTCTCAAGATCGGGGAAGTAGCACATCTGGAAAGGGAAAATACAGTCAAGATTCAAACACAAAAGAAAGCCTACTGGCTACTGGACAAGGTAAAGAACAAGATTTCGTCTCTGGTGTACAAAGAAATAGAAAACAAGGTGGATCCCAAAGCAGTGCTGTTCTCCACACTGAAGATCAAGTACGTAACAAAAAAACTGAGACTCTAAATTATCTTCAAAATAAAGGGAGTTACCCAAATGTGTATGAAATGAAACAGAAACATTCAAGTAAAGTGCAAACCTCATTCTATTCTTCACAAAAAGACAGACTCCAACATGGATCCAATGATGTTTTTTCTATGAATCAAAAGCAGACAAGAAATACCAATCAAGATGAAGAGCATGGCCAGACGGCACATAAGAGGTCCTGCCAACGTTCAAGTACAGAAATAAGACGACTTACTCATAGAGAAACGGTCATAGAGAAAGATGCATCCAAAGACAGTACTTCTAAGAAAACTGAAAATAAAATACATGACAAGCTTCAAAACCAGGTAACAATTCTTAATCAAGATCAACGGTCTGGCCAAGATGCAAAAGGAAATTATGGCCAATCTGCAGATAAAGAAAAAGGCCTACTCAGTCGTGAACAAAAACGCAGACACCAACACGGATCTCATGGGGGATTGGATGTTGTAATCATAGACCACGAAGCTAATAATGATCATCATTCAACACAACGTCGTGGCAACAACCAAAGATCAATATTGACATAGGCTACCACTCAGTAACCAGGTGAAAAGACGGCCCAATATCAAGGTACGATTTTTTTTTTTAACCAAATCAGGGCAATACCTCGCCCAATGTTTAGAACTATTAGGAACTCTCCAGGACTTTTGTGGGATTGATAACCATTGTTCACACCAATAGAAGTGCTGTATTACAAGTGGTAGGAAGATGAGCCTCACCATTCCCAGGTGAGGAGAGGATCTGGTAGTGGCAGACAAGGATGCCTGGCCTGTCATGAGGTCCTAGAATTCCTCTCCTTAGTTGAGTATTTGTCAGTAATATTTTTATACATGCCTACCTGCTAAAGGTTTTTTTTTTTGAATAGGTACTAGCTACATATGCATATCTATAAGTTTATGGCATATTCTTATCAATTCTTATGCTTTAGGTTAGTAAACCTGAATTTCTTTCCTATATAGTATGAAGTATGACATCAGTTGCTATTTTCTTTCTGCACACCAATAAATATTCTTGCATCCCTGTTCGGGTTCATCTATGTTCCTTTGGAGACCACAAGCCCAAAGACTGACAGTTCTCCCTCTCAGAATACAGGAAAGAGATGTGTAGAAAGATCCCTGTTCATGTTGTGAAAGAGGAAATGGAAAGGGAGACACAAGGGATGGTGAGGGACCTCATGGGCCAATTGGATGTTTGCAATGTCAGGAGAGGAAAACTGAAGGCCTGAGAGGGGTAATGGTGCTTCCCTGTCTCTCTGCAGTAAGTAACACTGCACTTGAAGAGAGGGCAAGCAGCAGAAACAATGGCCCCAGCTGGCAGCTAGTGGCCTGGCATCCTAGTAATAGGAGGCTGGCAGATTTGGAGCTGAAGGGGACAGGGGGTGCAGCTACCATCCTCACCCTTCACTTCTTACTACCCTAACATCACTGATTCTCTTCTTTCTCTCTAGGTGTCGCTTGACCTCAGTAAATCCTGTGACATTTCTGGGATGCAGACTCCTGTGTAGTTTCAGATTCTTGATCATGCTTCGTTGACTTAGGCTTCCTAAACCCGAAGCCCCTTCAAATTTCCAATAAAGAGATCATTTTCTGCTTCATCTGCTTTTGACTCCTGTGTTCTCTGGATTCATAGTGGCTCAAGGGGTTGAGGGGGCATTTCTAATGTAAATGGTTTTGAAAGAAAACAAAGGGATATTTTTGAAGCATTAGGGAGAATAGTAATCAAAGCCACATTTCTAGTTATATTGATGGAAACCCAACACTAAAAACAGGGTGCTGTTACTCTAGCAGTCACATGCCTACCACCTGAGGCAAACCCTAAAGGCTTTCATAACCCTGGTACTAAGACCCCAGGAACTAAGAATATCCCAGAAAGACAAGAGAAAATGTATTGCAACAGGCCCTGGGAAAGTCCCTGATCTGCTGGTGGCCAGTTCCACAGTAGCACATCCCTTCGCTTACCTTAAGAATGTCCTACTCCTACAGCATCTAAGATGCAATTACACCAAAGGTGATATGTTAAATCTCCACCACTCTGGCAAGGGCAAGTGGGTTAAAATTCGCTGGTGGATGGAAAGCCCAGAGGAGCAGCCAAAGGAGTCTTGAGAGAGGTGGTGCCTTCGTAATGGAAGTTCTGCTACCTATACTGCCTTTTCCCCCTCTATTTTAAAAAAGTTTCTAGAGAAAGCCAAACCTCCAGGAGAAGAGGCCAACATAGGGGAGTAAGAAAATCACTAGCCTAAGAATGAGAGATTTGAATTCTAGTTCCGACTCTGCACATGAGAAACTGATACAGCAATCTACATAGTACATGCTGACTCAATACTGTAGCGGTTGAAAGAAAGAAAGAAGGAAGGAAGAAAGAAAGAGAGAGAAAGAAGAAAGAGAGAGAAAGAAAGAGAAAGAAAGAGAAAAAGGAAAGGAAAGAGAAGGAATCTGCTGAATAGATTTTCTCTGCTATGTTTAAACAGAAATACATTAAACAGTTTTCCCTGACATGTGGCTGATTGCATGGGGGAGGGAACATAAACTGACATTCAAGAAAGCCAGAGTCATAAATGCTGTGTGCTGTGGTACAGTTAGTAGGAACTTTGGCTCCTACCACTTGCATAGTCTTGGGTAGCATGATCTCTGATACTGAACTCCTGTTTCTTAATGAAGGGATAATAATAACCATCTCATCAAGAAAAGGAAAGGAAAGGAAAAGAAAGAAAAGGAAATGGAATGAAAGGGGGAGAGAGGGAAGAAAGGAAGAAAGGAAGGAAGGAAGGAAGAAAGGAAGGAAGGAAAGCAGGCAGGCAGGCAGGCCTTAAAGACGGTGTCTAATGAGGTCCATTATGTTACAATAAATTTGGTAGGGCCAGACTAGGTCAGATGGGCATGAATGGTTCAGAACAACACAGGCCTACTCAGAGCAGAGATTGGCATTGCTGCCCACCCTCAAAACCATGGATCATATAGGCCCAGGGTGGGGTTAGCCTGGACCCCACCTACCAACAACCAAGGAGCCATATGGGTATTTAAGAGTCATTGGCGTCTTCCAGGGGAAGTGAATCATTCCCTAAGCTAGCCAACGGCTTGCACGTCAGTGGGTCAGCTTCATCAAAAGAGCCAAAAGAATAGGTGTAGCTATGTTTGTCCATCACCACAGCTAGGCAGTGGGGTGTGTATTACGAAGTCATAAAATCTACCATGTATGTCATTGCTAAGAATTAGTATAGATCAGCCGAGAAATATGTATGTGGCTGTGGGCCTACAGGTACCCATCTCCACTTCTCACACACATGTAGCACACAATATACAGTCGAATGGCCCCTGTGCTGCAACAGCTTGGTGAAGAGGAAATTGTAGAGAACTAGCAATTGCTTATCATAAATTCTTCTTTTAGTTCTACTTCTTTGGCTGTATGACTCCAGCAAACAATTTATTGTTGTTTTGTTGCCTTGTATGTACAATAAAAGTACCGTTTTCATATGGAAGAGAAAGAAAGAAGGAAGGAAGGAAAGAAAGAAAGAAAGAAAGAAGAAAGAAGGAGATGAAAGAAGAAAAAGAAAAGAAAGAAAGAAGAAAGGAAGGAAGGAAGAAAAGAAAGAAAGAGAGAAAGAAAGATCTTTATCAGGTCTTAATGTCCTAATGTTGCCTGTATCTCTGTGATTAGAGACTTTGTCATAGTGGCATGAGAACTCTGTCTCTCCTCACTGCCACCTTCCCAAGAGCATAGAGACCTTGTATTCAGCCACCTGCTTTATTTTCCAATCCCAGCAATTAGAAAGGAGAGGTTAGGATGGGCTTAGGAGCCTAGCATCAGGAAAGCTGGAATTACCAGCTACATCTGCTGAACAGATTCTCTCCTCTATGTTTGGACAGAAATATATTAAACAGTTTTCCCTGACATGTTGCTGATTGCATGGGGGAATAGAACATGAATTGACATGCAAACAAGCAAAAGAGCCAGAGTTAAAAATGCTGTGTGCAGTGGTATAATTAGGATGAACTTTGGTTCCTATCACTTGCATAGTCTTGGGCAGCAGATCTCTGATACTGACCTCCTGCCTCTTAATGACAGGATAATAACCATCTCAGAAAGATCTTTAGGTATATTGAGTGAGATGATCACAGCCCAAATGCTCAATGAAAAGTGCCAGAATGACAACAAATTTGGAAATAGTAATAATAAGACAATCTTTTATTATGTGTTCTTTGAAATGGAGGTAAAATACATACAAAGAAATGCACAGATTTTATATACCTGTTTGGATGAGATTGACAAACACATACATGTGGTTGCACGACACCTAGATGAGTATATGGAACATTCATCTTGCCTTAGGCCCCTTTCAAATTTGCGGCAAGCCCTTCACGGGCAAATGTTTACTGACTTACAGAAACTCATAACTTGCTTGTTTTTAATCCTTACATAATGAAATCATATAATAACATTCCCTTTTGTGTTAGGCCATTGTTCAATGTTTGAGATTCATTGTTTTTGTATGTTTCAGCAGTTCATTCTTTTTATTGTCAAATAACATTGCATCGTTTGAATCTCCCTATTTGTTCTTCCATTTGTCTGCTGATAGATGAGCATTTGGTGTTCTCAGTTGAGCAATTGCAAAGTAAGATATCACATAAATTCCAGTACAAGGCACAATAACATATACTTTTAATTATCCATGATAAATACCTAGGAGTGAAATTTTCTCCCAGTGTGTGGCTTGAGGTTTTTTTTCCATTTTTAAAATGATGGTGTATTCAGAAGAGTAGAAGGTTTGAAGTGTGATGATATCAAATATATCTAATTTCCCTTTTAAATTGAATATTATTGTGTCTAAGAAGTTTTGCCTTCTTCAAGGCTGCAAAAATGTTCTGTCTGTGATGTCCTTCCCTAGAAGCTGCATAGGTTTAGCATCTATGTTAAGGTTTATTGTTCAAATTGATTAATATTTGCATTCCATGCAAGGTATAGATCAAGGTTCCTTTCTTCCAATATGTGCTTGTTTTTATTAATTATTAATAATGCTGCCATGGAAATTCATCTACAAATTTTTATGTGAATACTTTTCAGTTCTCTTGGGTATAATCATGGAAGTGGAATTTTTGGGTCACGTGGCAACATTGTTTAACTCTAGAAGAAACTGACACACTATTTTCTACAATGACTCTACCAATTTATAGTCCCACCAGCAATGTATGAATGTTGCTTTTTCTCCACATCCTCATCAACACTTGTTATTCTGTGTTTTTTAACATTATAGTTGCTGTAAAAGGTGTGAAGTCGTATCATGTTTTGGTTTTGATTTGTACTTTCCTGACTAATGATATCACACATCATTTCATTTCTCTTTTCTCTCTCTTCTTCCTTCCTTCCTTCCGTTCTTTCTTCCTTCCTTTCTTTTTCCTTCTTTCTTTCTGTCTCTCTCTCTCTTTTTCTCTCTTCCTCTCCCTCTCTCTTTCTCTTTCCTTTCTTGAGACAGAGTCTCACTCTGTCACCCAGGCTGGAGTGGAATGGCACGATCTCAGCTCACTGTAACCTG